AAAATAAGAAATAAGAACCAAAAGTAGAATATGAAACCTTGGTAGAAAGCCTCCAGCTGAATCAATGTAGATGAGTCAGTCCTTCAACAAGTGAGAATACGCTCTACAATGGGCACACGTCACCCTCATGTATCCAGAACTCAAAACCCAGTAAAAAACTGTATACCCAAAATAAATTCCATGTAATCTCGTAAATGCTCCTTACTCAGAACCTACTTAACTTTCCTCATTCTATGAATAAACTCTGTTGTGCTATTTCCCAACGCACAAATGATGAGAAGTGGGGAAGGAAGCAGGGTGTTAGGAAGGCAAGCCTGAGTCCCACCAGGAGCAAGAGAAAAGACCAAAATGCCTACGAAGCAAAGACAACTGACGAAACACAGCAGTCCTGCCTCACTTATTCTAGGGATGTACAGCCCTGCGAATACAAGAAGGCATCACTGTATTTTAGCACAGTGAACAATGATGTTTATCACAATGGGCCTTAATAATTAAGAAGAGGTTAAATTACACTGCTGTGTAAGACAGGGACATTATGAATTGTGTCTGTTAGGGGGAAAAAAGTGTCCAAATATTTCTTTAAAACAAATTGAGTAAAACTTCAGTTATTTGGGTAACAGTTTTCCAAAACTTTTTATTTCTCTGGAGTATTTGAAAACTAAAGTGTCATGATGGTTTTCTTAGACACAATCCTATCTAACGTTTATATTTCCAGTTCTGCACTCTTGGAACTTTATCTTCTCCATCCTCACTTGAATGCCAGCAGCGGCAGTCAAGACATAATTGCTTATATTAACAGGTGCCTTCACTGCCTGAGCTCATACCACACAGTGCCAGCAAAACTATTCCACCTGGCTTTACCTTTCCTGGATGTTGTTCTTGGGAGAAGAAACCAAAACATTTCCAAGTCACCCTATTATCTCTTCTGAACCTGGAAAGCCATGGCATTTTGCAATCTCTAGAAACTTAAAAAAAAGTTACAGACAGTTATCCTTGCTCAGCGAAGTACAGCAAGTGATATTTCAGTTCCTTCTCTGACCACCCGCAGCCTGGAAAGTTGTTTGTGAATCCGATCAGTGCACAGATATTTTCGCCTAAGTTATGGCTGAGCCATGGGCATTATATGCAGGAAAAGTGTGAGGGAGAAACGAAGGTGACCTTCCAGGTGAATCTGCTGATGGCCAAGGCCCATGGTTCAGAGGACACAGAAAACTCTCACCTCCTTTGTGTCTGCTCTGTCCCCAGATACAGGCAAAGCTCTTGTCTCTTCATTTTCAGCAATGGATGGCCGCGGCCACGCCATGCAAGGACGTTTCCCTCTTATTTTCTCTGATTTCTTCTTTGGGAAATCCATTCTTATGCATTCTTCCCTCGGTTTCCCCCAATTGCCTTACTTTCTATATTCCTTTTTATTATTTTCTAGATCTTCTTTATTATATATTTTCCTGCCACATCCTTTGTTCTTTGGTGAAATATTGTTACATTTTTCAGCTTCCAGTTCAGTGTTCACTGACACTTTAGCTATTGAAGATCCCTGGCTTTCTGTCTTATCCCAAATTCAAAGCAATCCCTCCTCTGCCAACCACATGAATGTCCAGCTCCTTTCTACGCTGGGAGAACTAAACCAATGCCACTTGATTTTTCCTTTATTCTGCCTCAGAGTAACCATACTTTGTGTCTCTCATGTGGCATTTATTTTCATTTTACTCTATAATATTTATTAAATACTATAACGTACCATGCACAATGCTAACTACTCAAAATGCATTGATGTATTTCACCCTCCAAAAAATCCTCTTAAGTCAGTACTATTATTTTCTGCATTTGATAGATGATAAAATTTAGGTTCATAACTTTGGCCCAGGTGGTTGAGTCAGTGCATGTCAGAGTCAGAACTGGAACCCAGACCTATCCGCCACCCCTGTCCCAGCTCAGACACTGCTCTACATGGTTTCTGTCACTTATCACTTCTCCAGTTTCCAGCACCACCTATATGTACATCTTTTGATCCTTCAAACTTGGTGTTTCACTTCTAATATGATTGCAATCTTAATGTGTTTCATTATCACTGATTTCACTGAATTCCTCACCATTCACCAAATTTTCGTTTACTCTCTCTTTTATGTCCACACACTCACACAAAAAATTCTTCCTGGCAGTTAATAGAGCTAAAGCCAGGAACTAAAGCCAAGAGATGTTTTTATTTTCTTACACATTAGTATTTTCTCTTACTCCAACATACATTCATGGTAATATTTTTATTTTATTTTTGACATTTATGCCTTTTATAAAACTTCAAATTTTCTATGTAAAATAATTTTTTTTGCTAAGTTATTCGCCTATATTGTCCCTTCAAATTCCTTATCTGTGAGTTTTTTTACGCTCATTTTGACGGGTTTGACTTTGTTCTCATATTAGTTCAAATAGCATTGGCTTCCGGCCCCCATCCTCTTGTCCCTCGTCGTCAGGATTGTCCACTAAATCCAAGCCTTTTCCTTCTCCAACTCCTGTTGTCCTGCCTCATGGTTTTTAGGAAACTGTTCTCACCAAACTCAGAAGCATGATATAGCCTCACGAATTGCCTTAGCAATAATTCAGAATTTGGAATTTCAGAAATTTGAAAGAAAAACAAGGAGGGAAGCAGATTTCCTTCTAAAAATTTTTCTTACAGTTTAAAACAAAACAAAACAAAACAAAAAATTATCATCCTTCTCTTCACTGTGATACAGGTAATGATTTCTCCCCACACCCCCATACCCCTGTCATATTCTAGAAAACATATTGGATTCACAGGAATAAAAGTGGTTTTATTATGGGGACAACTTTAAATCCATTCTAATATATTTGAAAAAATAAAAGATAGAAAAAGAGAACAGTGAAGGAGGGGAGGAAGAAAAAGAGAGGAAAAAATCACCTTCAAACTCTAGTACTTTAGTTATAAGTAGGACACAGTGCTATTAATAACAAATTAACTTATTTTTCTGATGTAGGACTCTTTCTTAGCATCTTAGTTTGTATCTAAATTAAGTTAACCTATGACCAGAATAGATTGAACTTCTTAGTATTTTAAATGCATCTCTAGCATTGGTTATTTTTATAATATTTTGCTCTACTAAAACAAGTAATTTTATCTAAATTCTTTAAATCCATTTTAAGTCAGGTCATTTCTGGTTAAAAAAAAATTATTAGAGAAGTTAAGCCCCCTGATAGATAGACTTTGCCCCACCCTTTATTATGCCAAATCTGTGCAATTTGTCTACATGCATTGAAAGGAAATTTCTCACCTCTAGCTACTTTCCTTAGCATAAGGTAGTTGTTTTGTTGTTGTCTGGGGGGACACATGGTACAAATATTTAACATTTTCCTTCAAGGACACACATAATACCCTTAAGAAATTGCTACTCTGATAGAATCAGTGCTATAGCTATTGGGGAAAGAGCCTTCAGAAAAATTGCTCTAAGTTTCCTGATTCTATTTGTTGCAACACAAAATATACAAACTTATGGCTGTTGCTTCCAACCCAGACAGAATGTGGCTTTAAGGGCAAAGAACATGCCTCCATGACACAAGACACGTTTAGGGGGACCAGGAAGACTCACTACCCAAAAATGTCTCTTCCATTCGCCGTCATGGTACTGGAAGGGCATCATTTGGTATTAATTCCTCCATGTTGAAAGCCAAAATCCACTTACTCAGCCAGTCACACTTACTAAAATACAAATGCTCTCAGCAGGACGGATACCAGATCCTGTTTCTTGTGAACACACATTTGGTATAAATAAATTGTCAGCGGTTTACTCAGTCCTCAGGACTTGGGCCTGCACTGCCTGCCTCCATGCTTTCTTTGGTTTATTAAGTCAGTTCACTCTTCTTTTCTCAAGCTATGGCCACTTGTGCAGTAATTTTTTTTTTTTTTATTTCAGCATATTATGGGCGTACAGATGTTTAGGTTACGTATGTTGCCCTTGCCCTCCCTCCCCGCCAAGTCCAAGTTTCAAGTGTGTCCATCGCTCAGATTGTGCGTATTGCACTCTTTGTGTATGCATATACCCATCCCCTCCTCACCTCTCCCTCTCCCCCTCCCTCTTCCCCTCCCCCATGCCCGACATCCAATAGATGTTATTTTTATATGTGCACTTATGTATTGATCAGTTAATACCAATTTGATGGTGAGTACATGTGGTGCTTGTTTTTCCACTGTAATTTATCTGCTTTATGGAAACACACTGAGGCCTCCTCCCTCAGACATGCACTGTATCCCTGGGGCCCGGGAGGCCCGTCTCATACCAGATGGTCAGACGCATAAGGCCCCCTGCAGTCTTGGCTAGTATGAGTGTTTGCTATTCTCTGACTGGATGTTTGAAGAGTGGCACATCCAGGCACCTTGTATCTTGTTTAATAATGAGTTTAAATCATCATTAAATACCTTCTCTCACCCTCGAGCACAGGTGGGGAAGAAAAGATGGAGTAAGGCAAAGTAAAGAGACACCAAATGTGGCCCCTTTTGCCCAAGGCCAGTCCCTGCTCAAACTTGGGCACACGTGTATTTCCATCCCTCATGCTGGATGATGCTCCTGCTTGAGACAGGCTCTTGCAGGATTTCCTAATCATGAATTGAAGATAAAACATCTTCTCCCCTAGAAAACACGGGTGGACATGTCAACCTGCCTGTTTCCTTTCAGCATCAGCATGACCACATGTTCCACCCTGCTCGCCCTGGGAATGATGCCGGCGTGCCTCTTCATCTATACCAAAATGTGGGTCGACTCTGGGACCATAGTAATTCCCTATGATAGCATAGGTAAGTCGGTCCTCTGCAAGAGTGTTTAATGTTACCCTCAAACTCTCTGCTTATCTCCCGCTATGTTCTCAGACCAGGCTCACATCCAGCCATGATTTGCCTCCTACGCTAGTGGCAGTTTTTGCCCAGTTAGAATTTCATTGTAAAGTCCCCCCTGCACTTGGATGAGCATTGGCAGGATGTAAATTCCCAAGCCTTGATCCTAAGGGAGAATCTCCTTTTCCTTCAACTCAAAGCACCAGGGAGAGGAGGTTCCCCCGTCAGCAGTCTGGACTGAGGAGGTTTACGTGTGTGTATGTTCATATGATAATTTCAAACAGAGCCCCTGGTAGGTGACCATGAGTGTCACAGCAAAAAACTACCAGATGGAACATTGTTCGTAACACTCAGCTGTGAACCACCTCTTGATCCAGAAGTTGACTTAATGGCACAGTGTGTATTTCGTGCCCCAGACGTCAAATTTGCTGGTTATGACTCTGTCTCCCCTACTCATTTCAACTCCTGGATGTTCACCTCATCCCAAAGGAGCTTCTTTTCTGTTTCTGGGAAAACAAATGGTGGTGGGAGATTAAGTTATTGGTGTAACATCCAGATGAGGGTTAAGAGAAGAACAAGATAGTTCCTGGCTTACTGAAAGTAGGCATTTCCCACAGAACTATCATAACAGATGAGATGTAGTTGACATAGTCCATCAGTACCAATCAACAGGTATATTACATGCTAAATGGTATTTTTTTTCCATTCACCTTGGAAATAAATCCTAATGATTTGCCTCAAAAAGGTGTAAGTTTCCCACTGAATATAGGCAAAGGCCCAATGGTGACTCATCAGGATGTTTGTAAAAGGGATTCCTGTTGAGGGGAGGCTGAACTAAAATTTCTTTCATTTCTAAGAAAGTTTGGTTTTGTAATTAAATGTGATTGAGGGTATATACAACTGAGTTAGAACAGGCCTTGTGTACACTGATTGGGGATGATCTATATTGCAACCTTTTCAGATAGTCTCTTCTCTCTTCTCCATCCCCTACTCTTACCATGACCATTAGACCAAAAAAAAAAAAAGTGGTCCTCCTTGACACAACCTATGCAGTATGAGTTTTTTTTGGTACAAGATCCTTCTACAGACCCCTGGGGAACGGCTTCATATCAGATATAATCCCCTGAAAACAGATTTTAGAGTGACCTTCCATGACCACCTGCCTATGCCTCACATTTAACTCTCTGGCTGCTCCCTCGATGGACACCTTCCTTAGAGTCAAAAAATGCAATTTGATTGAATGGTGAAAACATTGTAGGCCTCTCAAAGAACCTGCCTGCTAAGTGAGGAGTTTTGATTCCACATTACTCATTTGTACAAGAAAATAATTTAAGCCTTAAAATATTCTTCTTTTGATATTCATTCCCTTCTGGAAAATGCCCCGTAAGAATTTTTTGAATAATTCTAACTAGAGTGTGAATGAATGACTTATGCTATACCGTTTAATGTGAATAAATTTTGAAAGAAAGGAGGAGAAAATCAGAAATCGATTAGCACCTCAGTTGAGGGAAAGGTCATCATAAAAAGAGGTCAAGAGTAAAAAGCAAAGAAAAAGAGGAAAAGAGAAAAGAAAAAAAGGAACAAAAAGGAAGAGCGGTTTGAAAAATAAAGATATTAACTGTGCTTGTTCAGCATAATGCTTGCCCAGGCCTATTCTCCAACTTAATGTTTTTTGCTACTGGTTTTTTTTAGTCCTTTAATATAGAAAACAAATGAGCTGACTGCTTCACAAGATGTTATCGTCACTTTATAAATGAGGAAATTGAGGCTCAGGGTAATTGTTTGATTTGCCCAAGATCACTGGGGAGCTGGAAATAACCCACCAGTCTGCTTTCCACCCTGCTCTGTGGGCAGGCACTGTGCTTAGTTCAGCTTCCACGCGGTGCTTCAGGGATTCTGTAAACACCTGCTGAGCCCCCTCAGATGCTGACATCTGGATGGGGAGGAGGCAGGCTGCACAACCGGTACCACTAGAAAAGCACTGTAGCAAATTGTCGTACTTACTCCTCTCTACCCAATATTTGTGAGTGGCTCATGCCAAGAACTTTATATCCGTTTCGTCATTTAATTGTCACAATAGCACTGTGAGGCAGACATAATTCTACCCGTTTTATGCATGAGGATACCAAAGCTCGGTGGTGGGGAGGGGGGTCAGTGATTATCACAGTTCCCATGGTTTGTGAATAAAGGTTCCAGCCCCACCACCTGAATGCATTCACCACTCTCTTCCATTCTCATTTTTCTTTCTACCTTTCTTTCCTCTGATATCTACTGTGTAAACTTGATTAAAGACCAAGTTATGGTTTCAATGGATAACTGTGAGCAGTTGCTTTTTCATCTTACAAAGACAGGCATTTTACAGAGAAAGCACAGGCATATTAGGAATAAGTAAAACAAACGGAGTCTGGAGAAAGAAAGGAGCAAGATCCCTGGCCCACTGGAGAGTAAAGAGTTACAGCCTCCACCCCTCCAGGCAGGAGCCACACACCTGGGTGGAAGGAAAGCAGAGTGCCTTTTCCAGGCAACTTCAAGTCCCTGAAAAATTCCATCTGCCCTCCTCTGGTCAGGAGAGGAGAAGCAATTCTGCCCTGGATCACAACAGGTGATCCTGCTTGCAAGTTTATCCTGTTGCCTTGGGCTGCCCCAAAGAGATAAGGACTCTTTGCAAGAGGGACCAAGCAGACCAGACACATTAAAACTACACCCAAAACCTAACCACATTTACATCCTAAGCACGGTATTTGCACCTAGATTTAAGCTACCACAGCACAAATTTATATCAAGATGGTTGTAATTTAAAGCCTACAAACTTCACAAAACTTAGCAAACCAACTAGAGACCCAAGCGAGGAAGTCTTCTCCCAAAGTAGCAGATGCAAGGAAACCCAGAAAGGATTTTTCTAGGGGATCTTACCAATACATCTGCCAACCTCTCTTTTCCATATCCTTTGTTCTATTATTTCCTCCTTATTCCCTCCTATCTTTTTTTTTTTTTTTTTTTGGTCCCTCCCTTACTCTTAGTACCCTTAGTTATTACTTAATTCTGCTGAGTAACTTCCGGACAAAAATAATTGCTGGCCGTTATATTGCCAGGAGGCCTAGAAGGCTACAAAGATATGTTTTCATCATCACTATATTCATTTTAAATTAATATCAACAGCCTTGGAATCCAGACTCTCTTTTCTATCCCTGTTGAATCTACCCCAACACTAAGCAACATCCACTCTTGGAATTTCATTATTCAATTCCACTTTCTCACTGCTTTAAAAGGATATTTGAAAAAGAAAACCCATGAAAAGTTAGAAGTTGTTGGTGTTATACTATATAAAAGCGGTTATTGGACAAATAAGTGTTAAACAGTATGTGGAAACAAACCATATGTCATAGGAGCAGCAGTAAATTAAACATGGTGAAATTGAAGTATGACTCTCTTATCTGGCTGGGTGAGCATGTTGCTACAAAGAATTATAATTACATGACAGGTCGCCAATATGTTATCTCATGGAAAATTTAAAGCCCCTTTTTCAACCTATTCTCTCTCCTCTCCACTGTAGATTTCAATAACCAATGCTAGTTTTAACCGGAAGTCATGAGCCATCAGAATGCCTTGACATCTTGAGCTCATTTTGAAAGTGTTCTTTTATTTCTTTTATTTTAAAATATTTTGAAATATTTCTTTTATTTCTACTTCCATGAAGTAACATACAGATGTAAAATATCATCTATGTACACCACAGTAACACACACACACACACAAACGTGGGCAAGGTATTTTTCTTAGGGGTATAAAGATCCAAAAACCAAATAAGCCAAGATTCTGAAAAATGGAAACCAAAATATATTGGTAGTATAAGAAACTCTGAAAAATTAACCCAGGATTTAGGGAAAGGATTTATATCATCAATAATAACAATTTTCAACCAGTAATATTAAATGATTTAGTGGAGCGGGTACAGAAGTAGAGTGAGTGTATATGTGTGTTTAATTCCATATTCTGTTTTGTACATTCGAGAAGGGAGATGAAATACTACCTAAGCCTTTTTCAGCCTGCTCACTCTTTTGTCTTTCTCTTTCTGTGTTATGTTCTGTTTATCAAATTGCTCTTCTGTCACCTTTAGGTATTTCTTTGATTGCTCTCGTTATTCCTGTTGGCTGTGGAATGTTTGTTAATCACAAATGGCCCCGACATGCTAAGCGCATACTTAAAGTAAGTATTCCATGGGTATCGGCGGCACAATTAAATGCTCCACAGTGAGAACTGAAGTGATATGGTTTTTTCATCCACTAAATTGTTTTATTCTGATTATATGATTACCTCCTAGCAGAACCTGAAGTTATTAGCCATATAGTCCACTTTTCTAGAATGTCTTCATTGTCCATCCACAGGACAAATTCCCATCTGTCCTCTGAGACACTCAATGCAAACATTGCCTCTTGGTTTTACTCTAGTCTGTTCCTACGGCACATTGCTGTTATCTCTGCTATGTGAGTTTGTGTTATAAAATATATCTAGAGGCTGTCTTAGAAAATAGAACATATCTTTCTTATCTCTGTATCCATATGGCCAGTTTGGTT